CTCCGTGATGTGGATGGTGCCATGGCCTATCCATGGCTGGTGCGGTGCGTGTTTGCACTTTGAGAGTGCTTCGTTTGTGTGTGTTTCCCTTTGTTTGGTGTGTATGTGTTTATGCATGCCCTGTGATTATAAAGGGCCTTGCTGTAGTATGGCAGGGGAGTGTTAGAGGGCCCTACGACAGCAAGGGCCCTCGCGAAATGTTAGACTTGGCAGGTTGACGACCGACGACCTGGTCTACTCGGCACCGTCGCACAGGTTCGATGGCAGTCAAGTGTGACTACGGGTGAATGCGAGCTGCAGTAAGGAATCTGCTGAAGTCGGTGCTGGGAAGTAGAGTCGTGGGAGTCTTTGTGTGCTTCCTTATGAGGCACGCCACTCCCAAGCTGAGTCGGATGGAGTTGCGTGCTCGGAAGGTTTTCGCTGCTGAGTTGGATGGAAGTTTGGCGGGGCGCGTTCGCCAACTCCCACAGCACTTTCGTGTGGGTTGGGTTACTCGCAGCGCCCTCGCTACCTTTTGTGAACGCTTGCTTGCCTTTATATGTTTGTGTTTGCTTGTGTGTTTCATATATTCTATTTTCCTAGTGAAGTCCAATCTCTACTCAAATTCTCACTTAGTCATTTGAGACCAACGCTACCCAAACGCTACCGAATTCCTAGCGCAACATCATTCCCATAAGCAGAATCTCTCTCGCCGTCGTAGTGCTCTCCATAATATTCCTTCACTTATATGACAATGTACCATAACCGTCCGTTTGTTCCACGCCATTTCCTTGCCAGGCAAATGGTCCGCACCACTGGTGCGGCCTCACGAGGTGGAATCACCTCCGCTCCGCTGGTGCGGGGCAGAAACCATCAGCCCAATTATTTGCTTGTGGTAAGGGTGCGTGTGATATTTGGATTTTTGTCTAAGTTCGAACTCAAACCACTTTGCACCGTGGCGAAAAATATCTCAACTGTATCTTTCCATGTAGAACCTTTCTAAAAGTTCGAACTTGAAGTTTGAAAAAAGATCACACCCGCCCTAAGCTTGAACGACCAACCACTGACCGCGTTCAAATTTCAAGAACATCTTTTGACGTTCTTCCTGCTCGATACTCATTCATCTATGACTGATCAATAAATCAGTATCATTGATTTTACAAAGATGACTAACTTACTTCAACATCGTCGATATCGGTTTAGAGAAGCAATATCTTCAAAGGGGAGCCTCGGTTCTAATTTCGCCAGACCGTGTTCATAAGGACGTGGCCCAGATCACTTCTGATCGGCTCTGATCTGATCGGGGCGGATCTGATCGGGTTGCTTCTGATTGCATTGCTCGCGCCGCCCGATCAGTACTAATATTCCTAGAAAACTCATAGCGCCTGCCCCGCAAGCGAGTCTGCATTTCCTTCACCTTTCGTCCCAATTATGGCGAGAGCGAAGACGTAGCGAATATATTGTTTCCATGTAATCTCGCAAATTACACTTTAAAAGATGCATGCTCGAAATCTTGACGAGCATGACGATCAGCTGTAACCTGTTCGCGGACGTCGCTGAGATCCCCAATTCCAGGCAATCAAGTGATCGTGGCTGATTGTGTGTGATTGTGTTTGATTGGGGTGTTTGAGGCGGTTGATCGAGTTGGGGCGATCAGTTGATCGCGATCAGCTGATTGCCCCTGATTGCCTGAAATTGGCAAAGAGGCTTCCTGGAAGTTCTTGATTGCTACTGATCGAGGCAATCAGACCCGGTCTGGGCCACGTCCTAAGGGCAGACCCGAGATTGGCTGAGTTGTTCAAAAAAGAAGTTCCTCGGTCAAAACTGAGATATTGTTCGTAGTTTGGACACCACCTACGTCAACCCGAGTCGGCCCACTTCTTGGTGTCAATCACTGTAGTAGCGGGGTCAACCCGAGTCGCGCCGAAGGAAATGTGCGACGAAGCCTCATTGGTGGGACACGAAATATCTGTTATTGTGCGTTTACATGAACGAGCCAAACTCAGTGCAACCCCACAATGCAACCCAACACCAACGTGTTGGGTGGGGATTTGTGGACCATCGCAGAGGCAGGTTTTGCAGATTTTTGATTGAGTGAGAGCAAATCGTGAGAGGTATCAATGCGATGGTTTTGGTTGGATGGTGTGCGTTGCGACTCTAGGCGAGCGGGCTATCCGATTAATTTGACAGGCTGACATTGAGCGATTTTTTAACACCAACCAACAATGTATGCTCGTGTCAAAATTCCAAAATGACACTGGTGTCAAAATCACGAACAGGCCCTGAATCTTCCAGTGTTGCCAACTCAACCAAAAAGGCACCAGAAGTCACTGCGAAATTGACCAATCCACCAACGGTGCGAGGACGAGAACTCCAGCAGAGCAGCGTTCTGGGAACAACACTTTGAGTTCTGGGCTGCTCGGATTCTAGCCCTGATTTTCACGGGCGTAGGCCGAAATCAACCCTTAAAAGCATTGCTTCTTAGCGAAGCGTCCTTAAGCTCGAATCTAATAAGGGGGCCTACGCTATTCCTTCGCAGTAGGAAGGAGCATACTAACTTCTCATCAACACACCTACAGCCTCAACATCGTAGGCAAACTTTGTAGGTAGAAAAACATCCGGGGGTGGGATAGGGGAGGGCAGGTATGGAGGGGAGGGTCCTTCAAAACTGAAACCAAAACTTGGAAGGCACAAACGAGGCCCTTAACTGTCACGGGTGCCATGAAAATTTGTAACTTAAAACGGTCGAGCTGCTCCTAACTAGCCCGGAATGTTCAGGGCATTAAGGGCAAATGCTCTTACTTCGACAGGCCTGGTTTCAGGACGGTTCCACACGGTGGGGGCGGATATTGAATTCTACCATTTCGCACCCCTACACGACAAATTTGACTGATCTGGCCACTCATTGCGACTCGCGCGACAGGTCAGCTCAGCAGCTCTGTGGGCATCGAGAAATCCATCACGGGCAGAATTGCCGAACTGGCTGGCTCGCAAAAGGGGCACCTCCCCTCAAACACGCTCGTCTGTGGGCGGCTCGATGTTCTTTGTTGAGCAACGGTCAATTAATAATCTAGATTGGTTAAGTAGGTTATTGAGCAGATACCAATGTGTGGTGTGTGATACACACCAAACCTTTCGTCCTCCCCTCGACCTCCTAGCCTCTTCCCCTCCGTTTCTCAGTCAATCCGCCACCGAATAAACAACTGTACTGTAGTGTGTCTCACACTCTGCCACTAACTCGAGTTCCAATTGTAGGTTACTGTGGTGCTTTTCTGTTGCTGCACACGTACCGTAACTTATGCGCAACGTGGTGGTTGGTGGGCTGGCTTTCCTTAGTGATTCTGCCACTTTCGTTCTACCTAAACGCCAGTGCTTGCGGAGACGGAGCGTTATTTTTTACGCGTGAATGCACACTCTAGCTGTAGTAGCGCATTAGGCGGACAGGCACAGAGGTTACTTGCTGAGTCGCCTCGAAACGCCACGTCAGTGTTTCATTGCACGGGGGATTTTTTTTTGCCCTCGGAGGGCCCTTATTATTACTAGACGTTATAACCATCTCAAGTGGCTTCAACGTGTCAAGAGCGCTATCGAAATCTAAGAGACTCGTACTAATAATACGCTGGGAAATGGAGGACTTGCGGAGAAGAGGCGGCGCTGCGCCAAATGAAGGTTGCAACCCCCGTCGGGCAGCCCGCGCTTCGCCGTCTCGTGGCTGCTCGCATACTGCTGGCATTCGGAATGATTTTTCCTTCCTCCTCCTCCTCGCCATCTGCGCTGTAGCTACCGCGCCGCGTCTGTGCGCAGCCGACTCCGATTCGACGGCACGGATTTCGGCGCGGTTGAAGGGCATTAGTGGATCTTCCCTAGTTCCCGACGTGACAGCATCGCAGAAGTTTCAGCTGGAGTATAATCACCTCCCCGAAATCGCGCTTTACTATCACGCGCGTATTCAGAACGCTCTAACAGAAGCGCCTCGCGCCGCGATTTCGGAACACTCCCGTTCCGATCACGTCACTCGTCGCGCGTTACAGCAAATCCTCCAGAACGTGACTCTCGCTCCGAATCGCACGCGCCGCAAGAACCCTCTGGACGGACTTAACTACTACTCGGGAGGGTGGGACCCAGCCAACAAGGACTACTGGGCGGTACGTGTTTCGTGAAAGAAAGACGAAATAACGAAACTTGTAACCCACATAGCTCACAGAACCGCACACGGCGCAAGAACACTCTAGACGGACTTAGGGACTACACGGGCGGGTGGGACCCAGCCAACAAGGACTACTGGGCGGTGCGTAATCCGACGTGTTAAGTATATAACCGTTTCAAAAACCTGGGCCGTGAGTAACACGTGTTACCCACTTGTGTTATGGTTTTGGTTACTGTGCTGTGGAATATTTTTTGTTACTGCCCGCCCCGCTCTCCCCGCCCCGCTCTTCCCTCCCCGCTTTTCCCGCCCTTACTACCCCTTCCGCCCCTTCTCCCCCTTCTCCCTCCTCTCCCCCCCTCCCCCGTCCCCCAGTCCGTCATGTGGTCGGTGGTCTGCGCGCCGCTGCTCGGGCTGCTCTACTCGCCGCTGTTCCGTTCCTGGACCTTACACCCCTCCCCACCCCTCCCCGCTCCGACCCCCTCCCCCAGTCCGTGGTGTGGTCGGTGGTCTACGCGCCACTGCTCGGGCTGCTGTGGCTGATCCTGGGCCTCGGGATTCTCGGATTCTCGCTGCTCACCTGCCTGTGCTGTCGCGACAAGTGGACCGAAATGAGGGACCCCGCATACGCCAAGTACACCAAGAAAGACCTCTGGGTGCCGCTGGGATTCATGCTCCTCGGGATTGTCGCAGTGCTGTGAGTGCTGATTTTGAGAATGCTTGTAACGGAACTACAGCCATCTAAGATGCAAGTTTTTTTTTTTTTTTTTGCTAGTGATATAAGGTATCATAGGGTTCGCCTGTAAAGACCACTTTTTAAATATATATTTTTAAATTACAAAAATCAACCCACCCGTTCCCCTCCCTCTTCTCCCAGGGTGGGATTTTCCGTGATGGTGGCAGGAGGAGTGCAGCTGCACAACCGCGTCAACAGAGTCACACAGTACGTGACGGAGCAGGTTGACTTCACCGCCAGTGTGATCTTCAACCTCTCCAAAATCGTGGAGACAAGTTCCTCTATCACCGTCGCCAACGCCGTCATTCCGGGTGAGTGAGCCGTCCGTGCCACATGCAATATTTCGATTCTACAGCCTTCCTATCGCATATCATGTCACTTTCTATCTTCCAAGATATCTATCCTCGTTTCGCTTAGGGCAATGTACATTTGGGTTCAAGATATTTTTCCGAACAAGCTGTTCAGGAAAACATATACGAACATATACGTAACAAGCGATACAAAACAAATTCAAATCTTTTTATACACGACACTCATGAAGCAAAGCGGCACTCTTGAGTGTCCAAAAGCTTGAACAGTGTTTGAACAGAGATGTTCCGCGCCGTTACTATTTTCACTGACACTGATCCGCTACTGGGTGTACCACTCTCGGGTGTATTGGGGACCCTTTTTAACACAACACCAGCATCCCATGCCATGAGGGCCTCATCCCATGCCTCATTACCACCACATTTGAGGCGCCTCGCAAGACACCAGCATCCCATGAGGGCCTCATCCCATTCCTCAATGAGGAATCCTCATTACCACCACACCACACTCGTGTCATTGAAAGTTTGGCGGCATATTGAACACTTTGTTTTCACCGTGGTTTCTGAAATCCGGTAAAAAGTTCGCCTTTTATTGTTGTAAGCCACGTTTTCTTCCTGCTCGATACTTGGCTTACTGCCAGCTCGCTTCCCTGCTTCTTTCCCCTCCCTGCTTCCCTTCGCGTTGCATCACCTGACAAAAAGGCGGACATTCAGAACAACGCGAGGCAGGCAAACCAGTTTTTGAGTCGACTAAAAAAAAGGCGGACATTCGGAACAACGCGAGGCAGGCAAACCAGTTTTTGAGTCGACTAAAAAAAAGGCGGACATTCGGAACAACGCGAGGCAGGCAAACCAGTTTTTGAGTCGACTAAAAAAAAGGCGGACATTCGGAACAACGCGAGGCAGGCAAACCAGTTTTTGAGTCGACTAAAAAAAAGGCGGACATTCGGAACAACGCGAGGCAGGCAAACCAGTTTTTGAGTCGACTAAAAAAAAGGCGGACATTCGGAACAACGCGAGGCAGGCAAACCAGTTTTTGAGTCGACTAAAAAAAAGGCGGACATTCGGAACAATGCGAGGCAGGCAAACCAGTTTTTGAGTCGACTAAAAAAAAGGCGGACATTCGGAACAACGCGAGGCAGGCAAACCAGTTTTTGAGTCGACTAAAAAAAAGGCGGACATTCGGAACAACGCGAGGCAGGCAAACCAGTTTTTGAGTCGACTAAAAAAAAGGCGGACATTCGGAACAACGCGAGGCAGGCAAACCAGTTTTTGAGTCGACTAAAAAAAAGGCGGACATTCGGAACAACGCGAGGCAGGCAAACCAGTTTTTGAGTCGACTAAAAAAAAGGCGGACATTCGGAACAACGCGAGGCAGGCAAACCAGTTTTTGAGTCGACTAAAAAAAAGGCGGACATTCGGAACAATGCGAGGCAGGCAAACCAGTTTTTGAGTCGACTAAAAAAAAGGCGGACATTCGGAACAACGCGAGGCAGGCAAACCAGTTTTTGAGTCGACTAAAAAAAAGGCGGACATTCGGAACAACGCGAGGCAGGCAAACCAGACAGCCCGTCCCTCCCTTCTCCCCTTTACCCCCCCTTTCACGCCTTTTTGAGGCACCTAAAAAAACAGCTCCTCCCTCCTTTTTCCCCTTTTCCCGTGCAACTACCTGCAGCTTACAATGACAAGAAGGCGGACATTGAGAACAACAAGGCGAGGAAGGCGATTGAAACAGCTGCGCACTACCATCCCTCCCTCTCCCTCCTCCGTCCCCTGTCACCAGCTGACAAGAAGGCGGACATTGAGAACAAGGCGACGAAGGCGATTGAAACAGCTGCGCACTACCAAACCTCCCTCTCCCTCCTCCGTCCCCTGTCACCAGCTGACAAGAAGGCAGACATTGAGAACAAGGCGAGGAAGGCGATTGAAACAGCTGCGCACTACCATCCCTCCTTCTCCCTCCCTCCTCCGTCCCCTTTCACCAGCTGACAAGAAGGCAGACATTGAGAACAAGGCGAGGAAGGCGATTGAAACAGCTGCGCACTACCATCCCTCCCTCTCCCTCCTCCGTCCCCTTCCACCAGCTGACAAGAAGGCAGACATTGAGAACAAGGCGAGGAAGGCGATTGAAACAGCTGCGCACTACCATCCCTCCTTCTCCCTCCCTCCTCCGTCCCCTTTCACCAGCTGACAAGAAGGCAGACATTGAGAACAAGGCGAGGAAGGCGATTGAAACAGCTGCGCACTACCATCCCTCCCTCTCCCTCCTCCGTCCCCTTTCACCAGCTGACAAGAAGGCAGACATTGAGAACAAGGCGAGGAAAGCAAACGAGACAGCCACGGAGCTGCAGGCCAAGACGGCAGACGGCATCAACATCATCAACAACGGCCTGCGAGTCCTGTGAGTTCAATGTGGGGTGGTGCGGTGCAATGCGGTGCTGTGGGGTGTAGCTCGATGCGGTGTAGCTGCTGTGGGGTGCGGTGCGGTGTAGCTGTTATACAGTGAGCAAGTACAAGCTGCAGGCCAAGACGGCAGACGGTATCAACCTCATCAACAACGGCCTGCGAGTCCTGTGTGTGCGGTGCGGTGCAGTGAGGTGTGGTGCATTACTGTGGGGTGGGGTGGGGTGCGGTGCGGTGCAGTGTAGCTGCTGTGCTGTGAGTAGTGAGTAGTACGAGAGCTGCAGGCCAGGACAGCGGACGGCATCAACCTCATCAACAATGGCCTGCGAGTCCTGTGAGTGCAGTGCGGTGTGATGCGGTTGCTTTCTGTGCTGTGCTGTGCGGTGCTGTGCGGTGCTGTGCTGTGCTGTGCGGTGCGGGGCAGCTGCTATGCTGTGAGTAGTGAGTTCAAGCTGCAAGACGGCGGACGGCATCAACCTCGTCAACAACGGCCTGCGAGTTCTGTGAGTGCAGTGTGGTGTGGTGCGGGGCTGTGCTGTGCGGTGCTGTGCTGTGCGGTGCTGTGCTGTGCTGTGCTGTTCGGGTGCTGTGCGGTGCAGTGCGGTGCTGCGCTGTGCTGTGAGGAGTTGTTATGAGAAACTCTTGCCTTGTGCATTCCTGATTCACTCAAACATGACCACCAGTTCCCTCCTCCTCCACTACCTCCTCCCCCTCTCCCCCCCAGACATCCATCACCTTCCATTCCACCTCCCCTCCCCTCGCACGCACTCCCTTCCCCGCCTCCCCTCTCTCCCCGCCTCCCCTCTCTCCCCGCCTCGAGCCTCCAAGATTGCTGCTTCATCATTGCATCATTGCTTCATCATTGCTTCATTGCATCATTGCTGCCCTCTTAAGCAGAGTTTTGAGACGACTCAAAGCACGGCTCAAAGCACGACTCAAAGCACGACTCAAAATAGCTGTTGCCCTCTTACGCAGAGTTTTGAGTCGACCAGGGTTCACGACTCAAAATTGCTGTTGCCCTCTTAAGCAGAGTCCTGCCTTGCTACTTTTGAGAATTCTCTTACAAAAAAATATATTTCGAGGATTCTCTTTTGAGGATTCTCAGAACCGTCCTCTTAGTGGAGCTCTGGCATTTGCAGTACGAGTTGATTAGACACATGGCTCCCCCAACACCCCCCTTCCCTCCCCCCCCACCCTCCCCTCGTCTCTTCCGCCCCTCAGGTCCTTTACCCTCTATGTCATCACCTGCGTCATCACCGCCCTTTTGAATCCACTCCTGCCATCTGCATTTCGAGTTGACTCGACACACATCCCTGCCTCCTTCCCCTCTCCTCTCCCTCCCCTCTCTCCTCGTCCTTCTCCCTCCCCTCCCCTTTCCCTCACCTCCACCACCCTCTAAGTCATCACCTGCATCATCACCTTCTGACTGGACTTGACAAATTATCCCCTCCTTCTCCCTCCCCTCTCTCCTTCTCGCTCCCCTCTGTACCTCTCAGCTCCATTACCTTCTATGTCATCGGCTGCGTCATCACCGCCCTTTGCCTCTTCGCTCTATGTCCGTGCATATGCAAGCAACCACCTCGTATCTCTATGTCTCCTCCGCCCTTTCGAAGCGATCCCAGTGCAATTGCGAGAGTCCAATGCGAGTCGCGACGTTTTTTTAGAAAAGAGACCCGCACCGAGCTTTTTTCTCAAAAGCCTCTGTGACTCCCGCCAATCTCTTAGCGCTCTTTGTGATTCGTCCATCTGCTGTGCATCTGCTGTCCATCTGCTGTGCATCTGCTGTCCATCTTCTGTCCATCTGCTGTCCATCTTCTGTCCATCTGCTATGCATGTACCGCTGTATTGTCAAGTGTTTCCTTTTCTTGTCTTACACCTTTCCTTTCTATGTATGATTCTCCTTCCAGTGTTTGCTCTACTCAAGTGGGTGGTAGCATCCAACATGTGAGTGCTCTTGCAAGCATTCGAAAATGCTGCATCCCACGCTCAGTTGTAATTTGCATTGCATTGGGTTTTCAACTCTACAACTCCGTGGTATTTTTGAGTCGACTCAAAAACATTGCATGCATTTGAAAATGCTGCATCCCACGCTCAGTTGTAATTTGCATTGCGTTGCGTTCCCAACACTACAACTCCGTGGTATCAATCAAGGACTGCTGCGCTGCGTGCATTGTCATCGTTAGAGTAGTACATTCTTCAGATTGAAATTGTTTTTTGGTACTGTACTGTGGATGAACATTGATGCAGAGTGTTTTTACTTCTGATAATGCCCTCATCATATTGTAACGTCCCTCTGATTTATCATTCTACTCACTGCGTATGATTCATCAACACTTGCGATGTTCATATCCTTGTTCTTTGTCTATCCCCCTTACAGCCTTGTCACTTTAATCTGGGTAGTCGTTTTCTTCACTTGGTGCTTGACAGCTGGCCTTCTTGTTGCATACCTGTAAGCTTTAGTTGCTGTCCATCCAAATGTTTCTATGAGTGCATATTGGAAACCCTTCATATTGGAAACCCAAAAGTTAGCCTCTGTGATTCTGTATCCGAAAGCCTTCATATGGAAACCCCAGGGATGCAATACAAGCCTTCTCGCTCCGCTCCCTCACCTCTGCTCCTCCCCACTTCCACCCCCTTACCCTCCCGACCAAAAAAACCTCAAACCCAGGGTGAACGGCGATACCAGCGTGGCATTGGAGCAGGTGCAGCATTCGCTTCGCCCACCATCAGCAGCGCATTGGACAAATACCTCCACTGCATCCCCAGCGGACTTGAGGCTGCTTCTCACACTCCCATGTCTCCCCTCCCTCCCCTGCTCCCTCCTTCCCTCCAGCTAGGGTGAATGGCGATACCAGTGTGGCACTGGAGCAGGTGCAGCAGTCCCCTACCATCAACAGCGCCTTGGACAAATACCTCCACTGCATCCCCAGCGGATTTGAGGCTGCTGCTCACTCCCAAGTCTCCTCTCCCTCCCCTGCTCCCTCCTTCCCTCCAACTTGGGTGAATGGCGAAACCAGTGTGGCACTGGAGCAGGTGCAGCAGTCCCCAACCATCAACAGCGCATTGGACAAATACCTCCACTGCATCCCCAGGGGGGTCGAGACCGATCCCTCATCTTCACTCCCTTCCTTCATCCTCCAACTCCCTCTCCACAGGGTGAATGGGGATACAAGCATCGCACTGGAGCAGGTGCAGCAGTCCCCAACCATCAACAGCGCCATGGACAAGTACCTCCACTGCATCCCCAGCGAGAAGCTCCTGAATGCAACACGCTATGCGCGCTACACCGCTGCCACCGTGCTCACCACCGTTAACAGCTCCGTGGACAGCAACGCTCCTAGAGTAAGTGAAGTGAGTTGACTTTTGAGTCAACTCAAAAGTCAACAGAGTGCGTGCAGTGAGGCGCTTACTTACTGCCGCCTGCCGATAAATGGGGCGATCTTTGGGCAGTCAAAGGGTGTACTCGCTACACCGCTGCCTGCCACCATGCTCACCACGGTTGGCAGCTCTGTTTTTGAGAATTCTCAATAACCATGCTCACCACGGTTGACAGCTCTGTAGTCAGCAGCTCCCTGAGGGTGAGTGTCTGGCGCTTCTGCTGCATCTGGGCGCTGTTTTACTTCCTCTCTATGTCCACTCCACTCAGGGGCTGCAAGCCCACTACACCACTGCCATCATGCTCACCACTGCCAGCAACTCGGTGCGGCAGTCAGTGGCCAACGCACCCATGGTGAAGGCAGTGCTTGCGGCATCTGTGTGGGTACTGTACGGCCCACCTCTCCCTACTCTACTCCCCTGTCTCCCACCACAGTTATTCAACCTTGCTAATGCCCCCCTCGCTCCAGATCTTCACGTTTCTTGGTGTTCCGGGCGGCATCTGTGTGCCGTACGGCCCGGCGCCCAATTACACGCGCGACATGAGCTATTGTGATCCAAGCACCACCATCACCTTCCAGCAGTTTGTGAATGTGAGTGCCGTGTGCTGATGTGGCATGTGTGCTGATGTGGCATGTGTGCTGATATTGCATGTGTGCTGATGTGGCATGTGTGCTGAGATGGCATGTGTGCTGAGATGGCATGTGTGCTGCTGATGTCGCATTCATGTGGATGGGATGGATAGTGCAGGATGGTGCTAAAGAGGTGGACTGAGGTCTAATTGACTTCTCGCCCTCACATGCCCTCACATGCCCTCACATGCCCTCACATGCCCTGACATGCCCTCACGTGCCCTCACATGCCCTCATGTGCTCGCTGAAAAACACCATCCCAACCTGCTCCCCTTCATTGCCCCTTCCCCCTTGCCCCTTCCCCCTTGCCCCTTCCCCCCCCTTGCCCCTTCCCCCTTGGCCCTTCCCCCTTGCCCCTTCCCCCTTGGCCCTTCCTCCTTGCTCCTTCCCCCTTCCCCCTTCCCCCTTGCCCCTTCCTCCTCCTGTCCCTCCCCTCTCCCCCACCATCCCTCCCTCCAGACCCTCTCCACCACGGCCAGCAGCTCTGTCTTGGTGCCTGAGGTGGTGAGGAACGACCTCACTGCTGCTGCAAAAACGCTCGCGCTGCTCGAGTCCACCATCCCCAATGTGCTCGCGCTTGTCGACTGCTCCTATGTCGCCAGCATTGCTGCGGTGAGAATGCCATATGCAGTGAGGTGCAGTGCAGTACAGTGCGGTGCAGTGCAGTGCTGTGGTGTAGTGTGTTGTTTAGTGCAGTGCAGTTTTGGCTGTTGGGGCTCCTCTGTAAAGGTATCCACCATCCCCAACGTGCTCACTCTCGTCGACCGCTCCTACGTTGCCAACATTGTTGCGGTGCGAACGGTGCATGCAGTACGTTGCAGTGCGGTGCAGTGCAGTGCTGTGTGGTGCGGTGCGGTGCAGGGCAGTGAAGTGCAGTTCTGACTCCTGGGGCCCCTGTGGAAAAGAATCCACCATCTCCAACGTGCTTACCCTTGCCGACCGCTCCTTGTTTGCAAATTTTTTAGTCGACTCAAAAATCGACTTACCCTTGCCGACCGCTCCTTGTTTGTTTACATTGTCTGAGGTGCAGGCAATGGTTCGAGGTTTAGGATTTAGGGTTACCATCTTCCAGATGCTCTCTGGATTGGCTTCTGGGCTCCTTCTGGGAGCTCAGCATGCTGTTTCGCCCCCCAATGCCCACCTCAACACCCCCATCTTCCCCCCACTATGGTCCCCCAGTTTGTTTTTTGAGAATTCTAAAAACTCATTCCCCCCACTATGGTCCCCCAGATAGCAATATCTGAGGCGCAGCCAATGATTACCAACCTCCAGATGCTCTGGTTATCACCATTGCCTGCATAATGCAGGCTCTCTCCATGCCTATCTACGCCTTACGAGCCGGCAGGCTCGGGGACAGGCTCGGTGACGACGAAGCTGAGGCAAGGGCTTGGGTCCTGGTTCCTTCAGGAGGAAAACTCAGCTTGCTGTTTCTCCCTCCCCCAATGCCCCCCTCCCCTCCACCCACTCCTATGTTCCCCCAGTTTGCAATGTCCGAGGCACAGGCAATGATCACCAACTTCCAGATGCTCTGGGTGGGCTTCCTGGTTTCCTCCTCACCCCCTCCTTTCCTTGTCCCCCTTGTCGCCCTTAATCACCTTGTCTCCCTTTCTCTTTGTGATCTTTCCCCCCAGTTTGCAATGTCCGAGGCACAGGCGATGATCACCAACTTCCAGATGCTCTGGGTGGGCTTCCTGGTCATCACCATCGCCTGTATGATGCAGGCCCTCTCCATGCCTATCTATGTCTTCCGAGCCGTCAGGCTCGGCGACAAGCTCAGCGACGCTGAAGTCGAGGGGTAAGGCTTGGGGAAAAGGGTGGGCGGTTGGGTGAGTGGGGTGGCTGGGCTGGAGGACGGGTGGGGGACGGAAGGGGGTGACTTTTGAGACGTCTCAAAAAGTCAAAAGTTTTGAGATGTCCCAAAAATTTGAGACATCTCAAAAAGTCAAACGTTTTGAGACATCTCAAAAGTCGGTTGGGTGAGTGGGGAGGCTGGAGGAAGGGTGGGGGACGGAAGGGGGTGAGCGAGGAAGAGGGGAGGGGGAGGAGTGAGGGGAGGAAGAAGAGGGGAGGGGAGTGTTGGCTGGGAGTTGTGATGGTGGGAGAGGTGGGATACCAGGCGCTTGAGTAGACCTTTGAGTCAACTCAAAACAAGGTGACCTTTGAGTCAACTCAAAACAAGGTGACCTTTGAGTCAACTCAAAACAAGGTGACCTTTGAGTCAACTCAAAACAAGGTGACCTTTGAGTCAACTCAAAACAAGGTGACCTTTGAGTCAACTCAAAACAAGGTGACCTTTGAGTCAACTCAAAACAAGGTGACCTTTGAGTCAACTCAAAACAAGGTGACCTTTGAGTCAACTCAAAACAAGGTGACCTTTGAGTCAACTCAAAACAAGGTGACCTTTGAGTCAACTCAAAACAAGGTGACCTTTGAGTCAACTCAAAACAAGGTGACCTTTGAGTCAACTCAAAACAAGGTGACCTTTGAGTCAACTCAAAACAAGGTGACCTTTGAGTCAACTCAAAACAAGGTGACCTTTGAGTCAACTCAAAACAAGGTGACCTTTGAGTCAACTCAAAACAAGGTGACCTTTGAGTCAACTCAAAACAAGGTGACCTTTGAGTCAACTCAAAACAAGGTGACCTTTGAGTCAACTCAAAACAAGGTGACCTTTGAGTCAACTCAAAACAAGGTGACCTTTGAGTCAACTCAAAACAAGGTGACCTTTGAGTCAACTCAAAACAAGGTGACCTTTGAGTCAACTCAAAACAAGGTGACCTTTGAGTCAACTCAAAACAAGGTGACCTTTGAGTCAACTCAAAACAAGGTGACCTTTGAGTCAACTCAAAACAAGGTGACCTTTGAGTCAACTCAAAACAAGGTGACCTTTGAGTCAACTCAAAACAAGGTGACCTTTGAGTCAACTCAAAACAAGGTGACCTTTGAGTCAACTCAAAACAAGGTGACCTTTGAGTCAACTCAAAACAAGGTGACCTTTGAGTCAACTCAAAACAAGGTGACCTTTGAGTCAACTCAAAACAAGGTGACCTTTGAGTCAACTCAAAACAAGGTGACCTTTGAGTCAACTCAAAACAAGGTGACCTTTGAGTCAACTCAAAACAAGGTGACCTTTGAGTCAACTCAAAACAAGGTGACCTTTGAGTCAACTCAAAACAAGGTGACCTTTGAGTCAACTCAAAACAAGGTGACCTTTGAGTCAACTCAAAACAAGGTGACCTTTGAGTCAACTCAAAACAAGGTGACCTTTGAGTCAACTCAAAACAAGGTGACCTTTGAGTCAACTCAAAACAAGGTGACCTTTGAGTCAACTCAAAACAAGGTGACCTTTGAGTCAACTCAAAACAAGGTGACCTTTGAGTCAACTCAAAACAAGGTGACCTTTGAGTCAACTCAAAACAAGGTGACCTTTGAGTCAACTCAAAACAAGGTGACCTTTGAGTCAACTCAAAACAAGGTGACCTTTGAGTCAACTCAAAACAAGGTGACCTTTGAGTCAACTCAAAACAAGGTGACCTTTGAGTCAACTCAAAACAAGGTGACCTTTGAGTCAACTCAAAACAAGGTGACCTTTGAGTCAACTCAAAACAAGGTGACCTTTGAGTCAACTCAAAACAAGGTGACCTTTGAGTCAACTCAAAACAAGGTGACCTTTGAGTCAACTCAAAACAAGGTGACCTTTGAGTCAACTCAAAACAAGGTGACCTTTGAGTCAACTCAAAACAAGGTGACCTTTGAGTCAACTCAAAACAAGGTGACCTTTGAGTCAACTCAAAACAAGGTGACCTTTGAGTCAACTCAAAACAAGGTGACCTTTGAGTCAACTCAAAACAAGGTGACCTTTGAGTCAACTCAAAACAAGGTGACCTTTGAGTCAACTCAAAACAAGGTGACCTTTGAGTCAACTCAAAACAAGGTGACCTTTGAGTCAACTCAAAACAAGGTGACCTTTGAGTCAACTCAAAACAAGGTGACCTTTGAGTCAACTCAAAACAAGGTGACCTTTGAGTCAACTCAAAACAAGGTGACCTTTGAGTCAACTCAAAACAAGGTGACCTTTGAGTCAACTCAAAACAAGGTGACCTTTGAGTCAACTCAAAACAAGGTGACCTTTGAGTCAACTCAAAACAAGGTGACCTTTGAGTCAACTCAAAACAAGGTGACCTTTGAGTCAACTCAAAACAAGGTGACCTTTGAGTCAACTCAAAACAAGGTGACCTTTGAGTCAACTCAAAACAAGGTGACCTTTGAGTCAACTCAAAACAAGGTGACCTTTGAGTCAACTCAAAACAAGGTGACCTTTGAGTCAACTCAAAACAAGGTGACCTTTGAGTCAACTCAAAACAAGGTGACCTTTGAGTCAACTCAAAACAAGGTGACCTTTGAGTCAACTCAAAACAAGGTGACCTTTGAGTCAACTCAAAACAAGGTGACCTTTGAGTCAACTCAAAACAAGGTGACCTTTGAGTCAACTCAAAACAAGGTGACCTTTGAGCCGACTCAGAAGAAGAGGGGGGGGGGGGGGGGGGGGGGCGGTTGTTGGCTGGGAGCTCTGATGGTGGGAGAGGTGGAATAACATGTGCTTGAGTAATAAGCCTTTATCTCTTTCTCTGATTCCTCGCACAGAAATCCCCACAACACATCATACACAAACAATAACAAAAAACATTGTACCAAACTGTTTGTTACTTCTCCATAACTGCAGCTGCCTGCCTTCCCACTCACTCCTATCCCCTCTATTGTCTTCCCCGCACCAGACTATACAAGGCTTCAGCTGTCCCAGTAGCTTACCCAGCAGGTGGGGGACCTGAGGGGCAGGCACAAGCGAACGAGCCTAGCTTCGCAGAAGGCTCTGGCGGCTCATACTATGAAGGCGAAAGTGGTGCTGGTTACAAGTGAAAAAACCAGCTGTGGGCTTCTGAAACTTGTGTCTTGGTAAACCTGGGAAGCTTGGGTTACATTACGCTTTGGTATTTCTGGAGCTGGTGCTTGAACCCTGTCAATGATTGTTTCCTTTTAAAGCTTCAATATCTCCGTCGTGCCTTTGCGATGCTCTAGCGAAACACCAGTCGTATTAGAGCTCGAGCGATGGGTGTGATGGTTTTGAGTGTACAAGCTTTCCATCAAACAAAATCTTAGTACCAAGGTATTGGGCGCAAGGCGAGTGCGTGAGGGCTTGGTGCTCATGACTTTGTCTTGGTACACAAACTCCATCATGGTCTCGCAAGTCGGAAGTTCTCTCATGCTTGCCACTCCCCCCGCCACCCTCGTTTTTTGTCCGCCTTTGCTTCTCTAAGGGGATGTTACCTGTTTTCAAGTGATGAACCTTCAAATCACTTTCTAAGAATCTTTACTGAAGCTGAGTGTAATTCAAATAGGGGATGAATCACTCGAGCAGTGCAACATTTGAGAGAACTAACCATGTTTGAGATTCGTAATGAAGTAGGAGGCTTATGGTGAATCTTATGGAAAGCAAACGCATATCTCATGTGTGCCATCAATTAACTTCCATAGCAGGCATTAGTTACGTATCTGCACATTTGGTAACCAGGTCAAGCCTTCTTCAGGGCAAGATTCAGGGTGCATTAGTTTGTCGCGACGTAATTATTCAGGGAGAGTCAGCCATTCTTCCCGCATGTGGCGGCCAGAGGATCAACAGGCGCGTCGCGTGGACGATCTAAAACGACCCAAGATTATTGATGAGGTGAGTGAGTCTGTTGATGGAGCCCACGAACCGCATGTTAAGTTGAGGTTCGGTAAAGCTGTTCTTGTGGTTTGGAGCTAGGCTCGGATGCAATATTGCTTCTCTTCGGCTGGCGTCTTGCTGCCGCAACTCACGGCGTCGTCAAGCACTTTTCAGGTTGACCCGGAACGACGCCATCCTGGTCTTTCGCGCGCGATTATTGCCATCAAGCGCCGTCGCTTGCGTTGTCGAACTGGCGCACGAAACCCAATCTCCATGCCGAACTGGGGAGGCACTCCACCTATGCAGGGGAAGCTGCCCCGCAATTGGTTGCCACTTTCGTACACGATGTTGCGTTTCGCGTTGACAGCCGCCCAGGGCGGAGCTAGTCAAGCGCCCGGGGCTAGTCAGGAGGGCCAGAACCAGGCCAGGGCGAACCTAGCAAGTTCGGTAAGGCTAGTTCAGGTGACCCTAGCCTTTCGGTCCGAGAACTTCGAGTGAAGGAGGTTCCGTCCTGGTAACCTATACGGAGCCGAACACGACGCGTGAAGCAGTTTGTTTTCATCCTTCAAGCAGGCCTTACCAGCCTACCCCAGACTAGCCCTGCACGGCCGAGCCATGTGGCTTGAAAGCGAGGTGGTGTAGTGTGGTCTGTCAGTGGCTGAGGCGGACGGCATGGAGCGAGTGATTCGCCACTGACTGGGACAGCTGGCGTCTTCCACATCGTCTCAGCCCCGCCACCGAGCCTGCCGATTGGTCAGCGACCAAAACAGCCTAAGCTCCCTGGCCTGGAGAAGTGCTGTGGCCCAGGCCTTTCCACTTCCTCCTCACCACCTGTCTCCTACCTCTCACCATTATTGATTGCTCTGCGCCCCAGTTGGACGAACCATTTGAAGGCAACGCTTTCGTTTCAGCTTTCTGCGAGTTCTTTGGGCGCGATATATTCCACTTACGCACCCACAGCGTTTGCGCCTTTGTAGAATAATGTGTTAGCATGCTACAATATGAGAACCGAGGCTCTATGGCCTACGTAACGCTTTGGCCTTGCGCCCACTTTAGTCTAATGCCGACACGTGCTTGAATAAGAACCTTCTGCGTTAACTTCTTTATTCTAAGGCGGTCAGTACGACTCGTTACCTAGATTACGCGAGTAGAAGTCCCGACGCCAGCTGTAAAAGTTCGCGACCATTTGCCATCGAACAGAATAGAGGCCGCTTCGTTCCCAATCGTAACGCTTCCTCCAAATCGCAGCAGGGAGCAGCAGTCTTCACACGACGCCTGACACTCTTAAGGCTTCGACCAAGCTTGACTTTGCCCCGTCGAATTAATTTACTCAGGGATGATGACTCTTACTGACGCTGACTTCTCACCAACGGCGGCGCTTTTCGTCGCCATTTGCCCCGTCGCCATGCTCGCGCTTGTCTTTCTTCTTTTCGTGCGACCGCCGCGAGAGTCGCAAAGCGGATCGCAGCAGCTTGCTCGACATATGCAATCGCATTCGAAGACTCTTGGAAAAAATAACACGTCATCGTCCTCGCTACTTCAAGCCTTTCTTGAGATATCCTCTAACGAGGATGCAGAATGTCAGAAAACCTCGACGTTTAACCAGCAAGAGCAGCGGCAGAAGGTGGTTGGTTGGCAATTCTCGGAAAAGGAAGGCCGCGACGCCCGACGGCTACGATGGGCTCGAGCCGTGCATCAACGGCTGAAACGCAACCCGTACACCGTGGACGACGAGAGGGTGCAGGGAAAGCCATTGTTTACGCCAGAGCAGCTTATATCGGAGCTGAAACAGTGCGTGAGCCGACAAAGACCGGGCACTGCCACAGCAGCAGCAGCAGCAGCAGCGAGGAGATGACGCGCCTGCCGCCGACGCGGCACTCGCGGAGGAGAAGCTACGGCTTCGGTTGCTCCTCTCGCTGCTCCACTCCGGTCCCCCCAATCTCCTCCCAGCAATCACTGAAGATACATTCGCCGCCGACGAATCAACGGAAGGCCACGGAGTCGAGTCTGCCTGCGAAACTGACGGCGACGACGGAACGTCGTCGAGCGACGACGGGATGGCGGACGACGACTATTCACTTACAATTGATATTTTAGGGGAAGCCCTACTAGATGACGCTGCGCCATCACAAGCCGCTCCGCGTGCGGATGCGGGGGAACTCGCGACTTTCTTGGCTCTCCCCCGACCGTACCAGACGCAGCCTTCCGCGAGGACGCTCCGCCGTCTCCGCTCTCCGAAGCGCAAAGTCGTTTCGCGCGCTGTGGGCGCAGAAGCGGAGATTCTGGAGGAGAAAGATCCCGTGATTGCGCTTGCGAGGGGGTACGCGACCAGGCAGGTTGCGTGGGACGCGATTGCACTGCTTTCGCGTCAACAGCAGCGTCCGTCGAGCGTCTAAGGAGCCATGTTGGAGTTTAATCCTGTGCATAATAATGGGTGCAGCAGAGAAAGAAACTGCGTTACTCGTCATGCCAAGCGGTCGGGGCAGGGAGCTGGGAACACGAATGGCGAGGTCTCGGATCCTGTAAGTACAAGCTCCATGACAGCGCATGCTTGACAGGCACCCTACACCAGCCCCCAACAAGGAGTGGCTGGGCGGTCACTTCAAGTGCCATTGCAAGTGCCATTGCTGTGGTACAGAAGTTAACGGTTCTTGACATGTCCACTTCAGTCCCATCCTCCTCCTGGCCATCTCACAGCTCCACCACAATTTCCGCCGCCTCTCATCTTAGCTAGCATGGCTTGTAGGTCATGCATCACATGCTGTGGGCTGGGCAATTCAATTTGCCAATGTTTTGTATGCATTTGTTGTGTTGTACCGGTATATGTCGAAGTGGGCTTGTTCTATTTTCAATGAAGTGCTGCTTTTCCAATTGTGTTCAGCATGCTTAATTGATGAACTGGCTTACAAAAGAGCAGACTTTACAATGAAGGTACCGGTAAGTCATCATTGCTGGTAGTGAAGAGAAAACCTTGTTATCCTAGCTACCATTGTAAGCATGCATGTACACCTAAACTCTTGGTTCGAAAAGGCTTGGCCACATTCGGAGAACCAGGTGCCCACTTCCATAGCCCCTAGGTTCAATCTTGGCAGGAGACTACCTTCGTTTGTACAATTTTTGCAATCACATATTCAATATATTCCGCGCATTTTCGACTGGGCACGTCTCTGCCGCTAGGTGCTCGGATGCCCCTTCCAAAACGTCCCCCCTACACGAACCGAACCTGGCCGAACGGGCAAGCTAAAAGTTCGACATTTCCTAAACCTCCGACGCATGGAGACTTTGTCGGGTGGAAATTTACCTCTGGATCCAGAGCACACACCAGAACACCACCAGAATCACCAGAATCACCAGAACATCACCAGAATCACCAGAACACCACCAGAACCAGAATCTGGTTATTCAGTTTTCGTTGTTGTTTCGTGGTCCGAGATTGCCCAGATTTTTCGCACACACCCTTCTTGATCGTGAATGCTTGATGCACACAGCACACCAGCCATGTACAGATGCACTTCTAGAAACATGACTCATAAGAGCATAAAGTGTTGGCATGGATGATTCCTAGTATTTCTGTGGAATGAAAGCGTATTTCTTTGTGACTTGATTAAAGCGACGGTGCACATTTGCCACCCGAACCCCTAAACCCTGGCGACCAGTTACTGCGGAGGAAAATTCCCCGCACGAATTCCAGATTTTCGCCAGCCAACACCTTCGCGCTGGCAAGCCTGGTTCAGAACAAAAACTTCTGAACCTCCGCTTGTCAAATCTAGACCCTCGTTAACTCAGCTGGAGAGTGCCGATAATAAGAGCTTAGTGCAGCAATTTGGTTCTAAGAGACGGCAGCCGATCTTGAGAGTTCGGAAGGGCGAACAGGATAAACGGTTAGGCGTGCAAGTAGGGTGTGGGCTTTCTTGACCCTTCTCCAGTCAGTCTTCATTTTGACAAGATGTTATTGCCGGTGATCCAAGTTTCGTTCACACAGCTGTCCATATTATGCTTAGCAGCTTTCATTCCGTTGGTAGCTGGCGGCAGCAGCAATTGCCAGTACGAGTGCGCTGGCTATGGATCTGCTTGCTACAACGCTTGCCAGGTACCATGGGATGAAGTGTTTTAGGAAGTGACTGATTGAGTAGGTTAAATTATCACCATGGGCAAAATTATTAGCATGAGCAATCGCGATCTATACAACGAAAAATCAACGTCGTTTTACTCCGGAGGCACATGTTAGGACCAGTCCATTCCAGCCGTGCATGCTTTTAAGTCTTGACGTCTTGATCTCGCTGTTTCGCTGACTCGAACTCACTACCCCTACACCTCTTTTTTTTTTTTCAGAGTTGCATCAATACGACTCCCTCAGGCTGCACAACCTACTATTCAGGTGCTCTTTCACCCCGAATTGTAGAATATTTGCGCAGGCCCTTTCCTTTCAGGTCTACTTTTGAGTCGACTCAAAATAATTGTAGGATATGTGAACAATTCAGGCCCTCTTCATTGGATATCGTAATCATGCCCTCACAGGCTGCATTGCATCTGTTCGGTTTGATATTCGCGGCAAGCGTGAGACAGCATAATAATTCCCCGTTGCTGCTGCCTCTCTCGTTTCATCATCTCCAAACGGCTTTTAGCCATTTCCTTTCTTTATTGTTTCGTTCCTTTCTCTTACACCAGAGTAAATCGTGGTAAACTTGTTACGCGGATGCTCATCTTCGTTTCATCAACTGGTTCCCGTGTTCCCATCCCCGTCCATTTTCTCCCCTTTCCGTTGTACCCCCCTTCCTCTCTTCTGCAGCTTATAGCGGCTGCTACTACGGCTGTGGGTGGCGGTGGACGTGGTGGGGCTCCCTTTTAGTCACCCTCGTCATCCTACTGTTTTCCTGCGGCATCGGATCGTGCGTATACTACTCCATGCGAAAGCGCCGCATGCAGCGGGAGCAGGAAATGGCCGCCTGGGCATCGCAGCAGGGGCAGCAATACCAGCAGTCAGGAGGCGGACCAGAACCAGTGCCTGGTTACCCTGTTACAGGAGCTCCGCCGGGTGGTTACCCGTACCCTCCCCCTCCAGGTGGTTACCCCCCTCCCCCTCCAGGAGGCTACCCTCCTCCCCCGCCAGGGGGTTACCCACCTCCGCCCCCAGGGGGATACCCGCCTCCTCCACCTGGTGGTTATCCACAGCAACCACCAGGCGGATGTGCCCCTGCATCGTCCTCCACCCCGCCTGTATAAAGCAGCCTGTTCTGATGGTAGTACTCTTTGGTGATCCATCGCCATCTACCGGTAGCCGCCCTTTGTGGTTAATGTACGGTAAGGTAGGATTGTGGGCTGTGCACCTTTCTTTCCTCCCACAGCATGTTTCTGGTCCCGCTTGCATGGAAGAGCCTGTCTGGATTAGTAGCAGGTACTTCAGCTGATGGTAGACAACGCCCGGATGCACAAAATGGCGCCAGAGCTGTTTGGATCTGCCTGCAGACATGTTCAGTTCAGAATCCAAAGATGGGGCCGTCTTGATGAAAGAAAGTAGAGTAGCCAATTTTTTTGCAGGCTTTGCTTGAAGTAGTCAAGGTGTGGGAGCATTAACAGAAATTTATAGAAGTACATTACACTACATTGATCCCATATTCACAACTGCCTAAGGCATGTACTGTCAAGCACCACATTGCAGCACTCTATGTCGACTGCATGTAATGCCTGAGCAGCTTACGAGTAAGGGTCGAGTGCATCTGCTGCGCCTCAAATATGACCCTCGTTTAGACCCAGTGGGAAGCGAGGTGTTACACTCCAGGAAGATGCGGTTTCTGTGACATGTTGTACGTAATGCACCCTCAATCCAGCCCTATGACAAATTATGCCTTTCCTTTTGGATCCTTTCCCCTCCCCATGAGCACATCTGTTGTAATCATCGCACTTCGTCTCCAAGCGTAGCCCAGCCATCCAAGAAAGCCATTCGAAGGATCCGACCACAAAGGCTTCTTGTTCCACCTGCATATGAAACGCAAATCCTGTGTTATGGCCATTAAGCAAAGAGGAAGATATACACTCACCATCGCAAGATCAACGAGAAGATTGTTAAGATACAGGGTAAAGACTCACAGATCTTCATGGTGGACCACCTTCCCTCCTTCAACCTGCACATAGGGAGAATGAAAGCACGAAATTATTGAGCCTAGGCAGCCATGCCACTCATATGGGACCCCTGAGACTAGCATAGTCTGTTTCGTTTTGATACCTTGAGTTGGATTCTCGAGTCGACATCAAAAGGTCTGCCCCAAACCCTGTAATTCTGCTTATTGTCCATGACCACCTGCCATTTATCAAACAACCAACCAACAATTATGCTCCCAATAGGCTGAACACAACCTGTTGTCGAATTTCAATTTCACAAAATGACATGCTGTATCAACTTACTAATCCTGAGCCATCTCCAGTTGATGTCTCCTCTAACGTGTACTCCACAATTCTCCCCTCTTGGAAAAGCTAAGAGCAACAATACGAACACTGGTCATCAAACGATGATACTCATTCTTGGCACAAGAACATAAAAGAAAAATGAGATGGGCGAGCTGACCTACCACTTGCATGGAGTAAAATGCAGACTTGATCTGATTCAACCTAAAAACGTAGGATACAGACAGAAGAGAGATATACAGTTGCTGGTGACAGCAAATCACTCATAAAAACGGAGGATGGGGAGGCTGCTGTGCAAAAAAGCGACATACCCATGAGCTGACATTAGGGGATCGTCAAATTTCGCGTCTGGAGAGTAAATTTGAAAATCCTCATCTCTTGCGGTGCAGCCATACCTGCCAACGTGCACGAGAGCAAGACATTGTAATGGTCCACTTTCAGAAAAGAGAGGGAAAAAAAAGAAGCGGCGGTCCCTCTCCTCACAGTTTGAATAGGTGCGGCAGTATTTTGGACGACAAGGGTCCTAATTCTGGCGTAGCGGACAGGTTTCGAGGTGGCTGGACATCTGCGGGAGTCTCTGTTGCTGACGACATTGCTGAGGATTGATCACCCGAGAGATTTGGAAGGGATGAACACAACAATTCTGGAATTTAAGAGGGTCGAGCAAAGTAGTCGAAATGGCAGCAACACAGAACGGGAAGGCCCGAAAGAATAGAGTCACCTAGCTTCGAAAAGCTTCAAGAAGACGTAGTACGGAAAAGCGACAGCTCTTCCCGTCACCAGAAACGGAGGAATCAAATGGTAGAAACCGTAGTAGATGGTGATCACGAAAGAGGCGGGGAGTGGTGGTGTCAGTACACGTGCAATTCACGATGGTGGTGCTGCTTGCATGCTTCATGTTGTGAGCTTCAACGAAGGAGATGAGCCGTCAAGGTCGGTTCCAACTGGCCCGTTTAGCGAGTCGTTGGCAAACTTGTACGATTCATCACGTGAAGCATACAAATCATTTTCAACCTTCAACCAATGGCACTTTGGTTACATACAATTGGAAAGCACCGACCGCCTGAAAGGCAGCTACGGTGTGAACTGGATACCCCATCCTGTGTAAAATGAATACACACACTTCCAGACTCTCCTTCAGTGAATTAATACTCCTATGATGAAGTACCGGTAGTAAAAATAAGGAAGCCAGTTAGTTGAGCCTTGTGAAGGAGGACGATGATGTGTACGGAAGCGAGTCACTCCCTGAAGGGGATACATATGTGAATGATGAAGGAGAAAGACCAGGTGCATTGTCCCTGGAAGGGGAAGTGAGATGGTGGGCGGGAGAGCAAAGCGACAGCAGAACGTGCAAAAGCAGGAGTGAAAAGTTGCAAACAACAACAAACGAGCATGAGATGAAAAGAAAGAGCACAGAAAGAACACGGAGAGCACAGAAAGAACACGGAGAGCACAGAAAGAACACGGAGAGCACAGAAAGAATACGGAGAGCACAGAAAGAACACGGAGAGCACAGAAGGATGAGATCACAGATGGAGAAAAAGAACACAAGAAGAGGAAAGGAACGGAACGAAACCAGCACAGAAACACGTGAAAGCGCACAGAAAGAGGAGAAAGTACAACTAGAAGGGAGCGCATAAACAAGGGCATAAACAAGGGCATAAACAAGCGCATAAACAGGAAGAAGAGCCGGCACACCTGGCGAGTGATGATCGTTCCTTTGGTTCCTCCTCAAGCTGCAAATCTTCCATTTGAGACATCCCATCAGCAGCACCAGCCGAGCCACTGGCAGCAGGGAGATTGCTGAGCGTGCGGGGAGGAGAAGACAGGCCCGACTCGCCGGCAGGCAGGGCTAACGGCTGGGCTTGCAGGTGGGTTAGTGGGTGGGCTAGGGGGTCGGTTTGTGGGTGGGCGGAACGGAAGATGTAGATGGGGAGGGCGAGGGCGAGGAGCATGGAGGCAATTGAAATGACGATGAAGCCCCACCACAGCATGTTGAAATCCCTCTCCATGTCGTTTGCTAGCCCTGATGCATACTGCGAACAATAAGAAGAGACGGTAGAGAAAGGAGGGAGAGAGGAGAGATGAAGCCCCACCACAGCATGTTGAAATTGGTCTCCATGTCATTCGCCAGCCTTGATGCGTAATGGGATGGGGGCAGGGGAGATACGGGGAGGATGGGGGAAGGATACGGGAGGATGCCCAAGTCAACCCAAGTCAACCAAGTCAGCCCAAGTCAACCAAGTCAACCCCAGTCAACCCCAGTCAACACACGTACCTCGCAGATCTCCTTCACATAGGTACAGTTGGCGATCTGAAGCAGCACAAGCACGGAGGCGACGAGTCAACCCAAGCTAGCCTAAGTCAACCAAGTCAACCCCAGTCAACCCACGTACCTCGCAGATCTCCTTCACATAGGTACAGTTGGCGATCTGAAGCAGCACAAGCACGGAGGCGACGAGTCAACCCAAGCCAGCCCAAGTCAACCAAGTCAACCCCAGTCAACCCACGTACCTCGCAGATCTCCTTCACCTAGGTACAGTTGGCGATCTGAAGCAGCACAAGCACGGAGGCGACGAGTCAACCCAAGCCAGCCCAAGTCAACCAAGTCAACCCCAGTCAACCCACGTACCTCGCAGATCTCCTTCACATAGGTGCAGTTGGCAATCTGAATCAGCACCGGCACAGACGCCACGAGGTGTGTGAGGGCCGCGTAGGCGGTCTGAAGGTCAGCGAGAGCTGACTGGGGCACTTGCAGCAGCTTCACTGTTCCGTTGGGAAAGTGAACCTGGCACGTGCCGTTGGTGCAGGGCAGTGCGGTGAGTGCCTGTAAGGGGGGCGAAAGGAGGGAAGCGATCGGAGACACGGAGACCACAAGGTGTGTGAGGGCAGCAGAGATGGTCTGGAGGTCAGCAATAGTCTCTTGGGGCACTTGCAGTTGCATGACTGTGCCGTTGGGAAGCTTCACCTCGCACGTGCCATTTGTGCAGGGCCGTGCGGTGAGTGCCTGAACGTGGGGAGGTGGGGGAGGGGCGGGAGGGATGAGGCAGGGCAGTGGCACATGCCATGCCCATATCAAGGGGCATATGTCAGTGAGAGCTGCTTCAAGCACTTGCTGAATCTGTTGGTTGAGATTTTGAAGCAGCTCTCACTGACAGATTTTGAGAATTCTGAAAAAAAAAAGGGGGGCATCTGTCAGTGAGAGCTGCTTCAAGCACTTGCAGCAGCGTGAGTGTGCCGTTGGAGATGATGCATGTGGCATGGCATGTGCCGTTGGAGATGATGCACGTGGCATGGCATGTGCCGTTGGTGCAGGGCAGCTCGGTGAGTGCCTGGGAGGTAGGATGAATGAAGCATGATTGAACAAGTCAGCAAGGGCTGCTTAGGGCACTTGCAGCAGCGTGAGTGTGCCGTTGGAGATGATGCATCTGGCATGTGCCGTTGTGGCTGGCGAATATGGTGAGTGTCTAAGAGGGGGGATAGGGGAGGGGGTGTGGGGTGTGTGTGTGAGCTGCTTCAGGAACAAGCCTGCTTTTGAGTCAACTCAAAAACAGACTCATTACACGCGGGGTGTGGGGTGGGTGCGTGTGACTGTGACAGCTGCTTCAGGAACAAGACTCACCCAACAAGGTGAAGGTTTGACTTGAATAATTGAGACATGAGACAATTCATAAAGTCTCAGAATTTTACCTGGAAGAATGCAGCGGGCGGCAGAGTGCCGGGCGGGCAGGAGGTGACGTTGTAGCTGAGGTCAGCGACGCCGCCCGCGTACGGGCTGCAGATGCCAGTGGCATTGAGTGCAGTCAACAGCTGTCAATTACACGAGAGGAGAAGAGGAACAGGAGTGGAAATGGATGTTGATTCGACTGATTAGGGCCTGCAGATGCTTCTGGCGTTGACTGCAGTCAACAGCTGCCAATTACACGAGAGTAGATGTTGAATGGAAGAGGAGAGGAGAAGAGGAATGGAAGAAGAGACGGCTTTAGAGTTGACCCTGAAACCGCGTAGGGGCTGCAGATGCCAGTGGCGTTGACTGCAGTCAACAGCTGCAAGAGAGGAGAAGAGGAACGGATGAGGAGGAGACATGATTGTTGGGTTGACTGAATAGCGGTTGCAGATGCCAGTGGCCTTGACTGCAGTCAACAAGGGGAGGAACGGAAGAGAAGAGGAATGGGAGAAGAGAGGAGGAATGGAAAAGGAAAAGAGGAACGGAAGAGGAGGAACGTGGCTTGTCTGGGCGCACGGTAGCAACTGTTACACCCAAGGGAGTTTCTAAGTAGTGCAGGCGGTTTTTTTACTTCTTCTGCTTTAAGCACGAATAAGTTTGCAGCTGGCTGAGAATATGTCAGAAGACTGATTTGCATGCAGCCACTGTTACACAATCGTATGGGTGATTGGAGAGTTGCTCACCTGGGGGTAGTGTGTGACAACGGATGAGTTGAGTAGGGCGGTGGTGTTGACAGCCTGGCGCACGTCGCTTGTTTGGGCGCATGGCATGGACTGTAAAGGTGTACTGTCACAGTCCATGCCATGCCATGGCGCACCCTTATGCGCCGTTATGGTGCGTGCTGCATCTTTATGGGCAAATTGCGTCCGGGAAGAGCATGCGTGAAATGACTGAGAGGTGCTCACTTGGGGGTAGTGCGTGGCAACGGACGAGTTGGGCAGAGCAATGGACGCAGAGAGAGCAGTAATGGCGGTGGTGATGGCCTGGCACACGTCGCTTTCCCGGGCGCACGTCGCTTGCCCGGGCGCACGTCGCTTGCCCGGGCGCACGTCGCTTGCCCGGGCGCACGTCGCTTGCCCGGGCGCACGTCGCTTGCCCGGGCGCACGTCGCTTGCCCGGGCGCATGGCAGCCACCCCAAAAACACCCATGGGTGGGTTGAGTGGGTGAACTGAGAGGTACTCACTTGAGGGTAGGACGTGGCAACAGACGAGTTGAGCAGAGCAATGGACGCAGATAGGGCAGTGGTGGTGCTGTTGATGGCCTGGCGCACGTTGCTTGCCCGGGCACATGGCAGCCACTGCTGCATGGTGGTGTTGCCTACTGGGTCCTGCTGTGACACCTGCCACATGGCTGCACTCGTGTCCCCCGCAAAGCTGCGAGAGGGGGGATGGAGAGTGGTGAAGCACGGCGGAGAAAGGTGAAGAGGAGTGGAGAGCGGTGGAGGAGGGTGAGGAGTTGTTTAGCGGGTGCAGTTTCATGCGATACCCATGGCTGCATCTGCATGGTGGTGTTGCCTACTGGGTCCTGCTGAGACACCTGCCACACGGCTGCACTCGTGTCCCCCGCAAAGCAGCGAGGGAGGAATGGAGAAGGGTGGAGGGAAGTGGAGGGTTGTTTAGCGGGTGTTGCTTCACTTGGCAGCCATGGGTGCATGGTAGAGAGTGGTGAACGGGGTTGGAGAGGAGGATGGAGAGCGGTGGAGGGGGATGGAAGGGGATGGAGGGGGGTGGTGGGCCGTGGAGGGGGGTAGAGAGGGATCAATCCTTATCACCAGCAGTACTTAACCAACCACCAGTAGCAGCACTTAAGCATACCACAGCCAGTAGCAGCACTTACAGAGTGGAGAGCAGGCAGAGGGTGACAGTACACCATGTGATGAACCCCATCGCCCAAATGAGGCTAACGAGTCTGTTTACAAAGGGGACAAAAGAGCAGAGCAACAGCAGCGGAGATGGTGAAACGTCTCCTGGGACATGTTGCATGCGAGAGCGCATTATGAGTTTGAAATTAGAAAAATTGAAGTCGACTCAGATATAAGAAAATGTAAGTCGACTAAAAAAATAAAGAAATTTGAGTCGACGCAAAGAAAGGAACATGCCGACCCTATGGAAATCACTTTTGAGAATTCTCTTGAGGAACATTTCCATATAGAAAGGAACATGCCGACCCTTGCTGGAAGGTACGTTGTGAGAACAGAGTTTTGGAGATATCTCAATAGTAGCAGGAGCAGACAAGGTAACTTTTGAGTCGACTCAAAAGTCACCTCGATATCTCAGAAGGAGCAGGAGCAGACAGCAAGACACACAAGGACACAGATTCAGTGTCAAGCCTCGCTCATACACCTGTTTTGAGTTGACTCAAAAACAGACTCATACACCTACAGGTCGAGTCTGTTGCCCTCTAAGCACAGCAGATTGTAACCAAGATTTCATACATAAATGTATACATATTTATCTGTATACCATAATTTGTATACACATATATGTAAATGTATTTTTCCGGTTTATACACCTTTAACGCCCTACATGTGCAATGAGAATTTGTAAAAGCAATATCTGCTAAAAAGACTCTTACATGTGTGATGCAACAGACCACTGCAAGAAGCCGGCAACTGCAGCACGGGTGGGTGTTGGGGTGAGGGGGGGGGGGGGGGGGGGGGGAGAGCGGGGTGGGTCAAAAGGGAAAGACTGCTGAGACGACCCAGTCGCCTGCATGTGCGATACGACCGACCACTGGAGAAAGGCAGCGGCTGCAGCATGCATTAGGAGGGCGAGAGCAGGGAGGGGCAAGGCAAGGGTGGACATAAGAGTGACCACTTGGATTTTGAAGACTTGCATTAAAAGGTTTGAAGAGACACATCATATAATCATAGCACTCCGCAAAACACCCTATCTTCCTAGCTAGCGCTTGCTGAATATCGCTTATAGAATCATTCAAGTTAGCACACAGCACAGCACCGACAAAGTTTTCCAAAGCACTCACCACTCACTCACCTAGTTCCCCAGTCCGCCTTTCCACACACCAGCAGCAGCACTCACCCAATCCCAGCAGCACAAGTAGAGCAGTGAGCAAGCCAATGACGAGGATGGTTATGGTGCTGCCAAGGGGATTGGAGTGGGGTTGCATGGTGCAGGGATGAGAGTGTTCCAGGGTGGGTGGGGAAGTTGACATGGGTGTGACAGACAAACACAACTCACGGAATGGTGACAGGGTGACAGGGTGACAGGGTGACAGGGTGATAGGGTGACAGGGTGACAGGGTGACAGGGTGACAGGGTGATAGGGTGACAGGGTGACAGGGTGACAGGGTAACAGGGTGACAGGGTAACAGGGTAACAGGGTAACAGGGTAACAGGGTGAGAGTGACAGGGTAACAGGGTAACAGGGTGACAGGGTGACAGGGTAACAGGGTAACAGGGTAACAGGGTAATAGGGTGACAGGGTGACAGGGTGACAGGGTAACAGGGTAACAGGGTAACAGGGTGACAGAGTGACAGGGTAACAGGGTAACAGGGTGACAGGGTGACAGGGTGACAGGGTAACAGGGTGACAGGGTGACAGGGTAACAGGGGGACAGGGTAACAGGGTGATAGGGTGACAGGGTATTAGGCTATCAGGGTAACAGGGTGACAGGGTAACAGGGTGTAAGAGTCATCGTGATGGATTGTCAGCAATGAAGACTAGGGCGAGCAGCAGTTAGAAAGATACTGGATTAAAACTCAAACCAGTTTCGGCTGACTGGGACAGGCCCCAAGTCAAACCTTCATCAGTGCTCACGAAATGGTGACAGGGTAACAGGGTAACAGGGTGTCAGAGTTATCATGATGGGAAGGATTGGCAGCGCTACTAACAGACCAATGCAGCTCACTGCGCGGTGATGACGGACGCTACAAAGGGCAGTGGCAGTGGCATGGTGAAAGGGACGATTGACAGAGTGACAAGGGTGGGTAGGGGTGCTGATACTATGACATATGATAGTGACATCTTGACACACATTTTTTCAATATTTACATGTGAAAGTTGGAATTGGAACCAATGATTAGATTAGGGTAGAACAAAGCATACATAGGTGGAAGAGAAGCTTGGAGGGGAAAGGTGAGTTTGACCATTGGTTGGGTTGGCCTCACTTTGGAGTGAGGCAACCTTAGGTCAAGTGGGATGATTTGGCCACACTTTGTGGAAGTGAGACAACCTTAGACTCAGTTGGGTTGGGTTCG